GATGTATTTATTTAGTCTCAACTGACTGCCGATGTTGTTATTTAAGCATGCAGCCCTGGATATTTTGGTGACACCTGCAACACAAGCTGCCCGTCCAATTGTAAAGGGGATATATGTAATCAGACCTGTGGGTTATGTACAGGTATGGTGATATGTACGGTCATTGACAGAAGTAAAATCATATAATTATATTTTCCCTATTTATTAGTTTGAAACGTGAAAGTGTGTATAACAATACATTTTGGACAATGGTGATCATAATTGGTGTAACGAAACGTTTTTTAACTAAAGCAATCACCGATATATCAATAACATTGTTAGTCCTTTAATCCCAAATTTTGTTTAACCAGATACATTCTTTTTGAGACGGTAAAAATGTGTTCAGAGAAGTATAATTATGATCTTGCGTATAGATATTCTCAGTTCATTTATCGTTGATACGTGACTGCATGAAATAATGTTTTGTAGCGTGTTGAATATTACATTTTTGGCATAGTAAAACAGACAGAGTAAGTAATTTTGGGGTATAGTAAAACTATATCGCAGTTAGAAACATCAAGAGGATACTTTAAATGTACATTATTAGCACACAAATTCCAAAAATCAAATTATAAAAGGACGAATTGTATTACACAGCCTACAACAAGGCAAATATAATTTCTATAATACAAGTCTTATGTAAACATTATTGCATGTAGACGTCAATACATGTATTTGTTTCATTGTGTTTTAGAATGTGCACCCGAGTTTTATGGCATTGACTGTAAGCATATTTGTCCGGCAAACTGTCAAGACTCGCTATGTGCCAGAAGTAGAGGGGATTGTCCAGGTACAATGAAGCTCGCAAACAGAGTCAGTTTTTCTATTTACCGATCTTTATTTATTTTTTTTGGTAATATATTAGGGTACGTTCAGTTCGTTTTATGTGTTAACAGTCTCATATTCCGATCGGTTATGAAATATTTTCGCTGTGGCCTATAACTGTTTGACATATACATGTATCGAGGCCAAGGAGATGTGAATTATCCTCTTTTTTATTTTGCCAAAACATTATTATGTTAGTGCATTATGGCATTAGAAATTCAACTAATGTATCATTTGTGACAACAGGGTTTGTTTAGGGGACGATTTCTAGTATGGTCCCCATTACAATTCAAACTTGTTTAATATTTCTACTCAAGACATTTCTGTTTAATCTAAAGGCAAAACAATCTTAATAAATCACTGACATTTCTAGAATTCAAAATTGGACTGTACGGGACAACTTTTAATATTAATTGTTTTGATTAATGACCGGATATGCAGTCAATCGGGCTGAAATAGTGAGGGTTAGTAAACTTAATTTAAATTAGAACATAATAGCGTTAACCCATTTGATTTGGCTTAAGGTGTAATGCACAAAAGGAGTCGTATGTGTAAAATATGAAATATTTGTATTGTAGCATGTGAGCCTGGTTTCTTTGGACTAAATTGTAATATGTCATGTTTTGGTCATTGTGAATGCCAACAGAACAACGGAACGTGCATAGGTATATTTGCCCTATCATTAACGTACAGAACATTTTGTCAAAGTATCTATGACTGAGCTATTAATCATGCATAGAAAAGATAGTTTAAAGTGTAAGATTCACACTACGTACTATTATTGTTAAAAGACAATGAATTATGTACATTTTGCATCATTTCTTTATCGTCAATTATAATCAAAATATTTCACCTGAAACATCTTTATCTTTTAATATTTTATTTTTACTCCAATAGAGTATTTCTAAAAGCTTCACAAATCGTATTTTAATCCATTCTAATAAAGATGTTTTTTATGATAGCATGTGATACCCAAACTCATTTATTTTTTGCAATTACACTGCTTCAATTTGTATTATTAGCTTGTACGAGTGGATATTTTGGACTTAACTGTGAAGAGAAATGTGGGCAGTGCAGTGCTGTGTCATGCAGTAGGTCTGATGGGTTATGCTTCTGTAGCGACAAGGCACACGGGACATGCGGGTGTAAACATAGCTGGGAAGGAGAGAAGTGCACTACAAGTATTTTGTTTTATTTTGTTTTATTTTCAAAACCAATAACTGATGTGATATTTCACCTGGTTAATGTAGATTTTGTTATAAAAGGCAATATGGAAATAACGAAACT